GGGAACGAAAAACTTGTATAAATGTTTTAATACTAAATGCATTAAAATATCATGAGATTAATACAAGTTTCCTTTGGCTTCTACAATTACAAGACGTGCTCAAAGTGGTGGCCATTGGCTTCCAGACATTTATTTTTATTTTTAAAATTATTTATATATATATTTATTTATTTGGGGGGTAGGGGGATTGAACTCGGATCCTTGTACTTGCGAGGCAGGAGGCAGAACCACTGAGTGAAATCCCCAGCCCCTCCAGACATTTATTAATATGGCAAACTGCTGCTTGGGTAACCTTGGTCATGGAGATTGCTGCACATGCATTTTCGATTTCTTCTCTAAAGGCCAGCAGTGTAGGGCATTTTCTACTTTATACAACATCCTCTAGGGTCCACCATATGAGAGCAACACCATCTGCTAAAAAAATAATAATACGGGCTGGGGATTTAGCTCAGTGGTTTTGCCGCCTGCCTTGCACATGCAAGGGCCGGAGTTCGATCCCCAGTACAAAAAAAAACAAAAACAAAACCCAAAAATGATTTTTCTTTTCCTGAAGTGTGTATACATTTTTCTTGCAGACTCTGTGTATAAGGATTTACAAGGCAGGCTTACAACAGCTGCCTGCAGTCAGCTGTGGAAGAGCACAGAAGGGCTTTCTGCACACTGGAGATCTGGAGGATCCAGTCAAAGGCTGAAGGCCTGGAGCTCACTGTGAGTCCGTATCAGGTGGCCAAAGGGTCTGCAGTGGAAGGCTAAAGAGTTTGTGCTGGAAGTCAGGAGATGATGTCCAAGGTGAAGGTGAAGACTGGAGCGCTTCCAAAAAAACAGAAGCGAGCCTTCCTTCCATGACTCCCTTTTATCCCACTCAAGCCTATTGGTTGGTGCCACTCACACCCAAGGCAGGTTTCCTGTCCTCAGAACATCCTTTCAGCCCCATCCAGAACTATCCTGATACAATTTTGTTGGACATTCCTTTTTGGTTTTTTTTTTGGTACCAGGGACCACGGAGCTAAATCCCCTTCCCTGATTGGGCATTTGTTACTCTAATTGACACAATCAGTTAACTATCACAGAAAAGTTTAATTTTACTCATGGCTTCAGGGATTCAGTCCATGGTCAACTGGCTTCAAGGCAGAAATACTAGTGCAGAAGGGCATGGCAGAGCAAAGATGTGTAGTTCACAGCAGCCTGGAAGCAGAGGAGGGAACACAACTTGTTTGCTACACCCAGAAACCTGCAGCTCATGTGCCCCTGAAGGTGCCACCAGCAGTCTAGCAGGTGGCGGATAACCACCGATGGGCTTTGCCTCAGGTAGAGATCTGTCTCTGCCGGCTTGTCAGGAAAGCAGCTGGCAGGGAGAATGGGTGGCACGGACAGAGTGGGGTCTGTCATTTTTCCAAATGGCTGCTGAGTTTCAGTCCAGGTTTCTCAGTCCTGTTGCTCCAGGCACCTGGTAACATGAGATCTCAACAACTAAAGTTTGGAGACCAAAACTGGAAAGGTAACTGGGCTAAGAGGACGACCAATATTTTGGCCCTGGTCCTTCAAGGTCAAAGAATTGAGGATGTGAAGAAACATTTTTTACAGTATTCTATATCTTTGGCAAGTCACCCAACCTCCTGAGCTGGGAGACTACTGGACACCAGTGGACAAATGCACCGTGTACCAAAGGAGCGTCCCAAGGGGGAAACGCCTCCCACGCTTTCACTGAAAGCAACGTGGTCAAGCAAGGCCGTGACCCATCCTGACAGCTGGCCTGACAGAGGAGTTCGGAGGGTCTGTGCGTGGTTCCAAAATGCCTGAGACTTAACTAACCCTGACAGACAGCAAGAGGTTGATTTTGATCAACACAGGTCTCACTTTAACTTGGACTTAAAACACTCAACAGAAAATAAACAAAAGAGGTATAAAATAATGCCACTGTCATAAAGCTAGACATAAAAAGGGGCTCCAATAACTGACCCCTTCTGGCAGTTTCCAGCTACACTGACCACAGTTATAGATCATTAGGAAAAAACTAAAGTAAAATATGTAAGAGTGCAACTGAGTTTTAAAAATTTTTAGCTGAAACTGTTCTTCAAATTGTCTCTACCTTATTATAGCTAAAACTAGAGAGACTTACGACAAAGTATCAGACTAAGAGCCAGCAGGTTATAATCACTCCCTGTTTCAGTGTCTAAGTGTGACTCTCTCCCCAACTTGTCCTTCCAGTCTAGCGCTCACGCTTAGATTACACGTGCTCTCATTTCTTGAAGACTTTTTTATTCTTGCCCAGAGGCTGTCAAACGCCAAGCAGTCATACAAATGGAACCAATGACAAATGTGCTAGACTTCTTTTGCCGGGATCTACCTGATAGACCTCGTAAACAGTTCATAGCTGTTAAACTACAATATGACTTCTATGTCAGATTCTGAAGTCCCTTGGACCTTCTCTTTATCCTCTTTGTGGGAGGCTGTTACTGGTTCCTCCCAGTAGAAAACTTGTTGGCTGTGTTCATAGCAATCCTGCTGACCTTATTATTTGGTCCATGTATTCTTAACGGTTTCTTTGGCTTTGTCTCCTCCAGACTCCAAGATATGCACCTACCCAAGATGGAAATGCCTGGCACCTGTCTAGGGCCTTTAGTCAGACGTCTGTGTATAACTCTGACTGGAGATTGCAACTATGACCCTCTTCAGCTGGAAGTAGCCAGAATGGTCTTTATCCCTATTTCCCTCACAGCAGTCAAGGGTACTTCGGAGTGGGGAAAACTGTAGATAAGTAAGCTGAGTAGGTATGTTGTAGGCAGTAGGCATCTTGTAGGCAGTAGGCAGGGCCAGCCTGTGAGAAGCCAACATGGAGGACAATGAAGACATATTCACCAACAGCATTGTGAAAGAAGCACCTGAGTAATTCCCCTAAGGATAAATAGCAGTAATTAATATTCTAAATAGGTATCAATTACCCAGATGGGGAAGATCTTACCTACCTCTTCCAGGAAAGACCCCTGACCAAAAATCCTTGTATGTTTGCTACATGACTTACTTCCCCATTGGATCCCCATCTAATCAATATTACCTAAGCAACTGTACTTGTAATATTATTGATCACAGTTTTGCCCACCTTGTGATTTCTCACTGGATTAATATTACCTGAGCAACTGTACTTTTAATCTTACTAGTTGACCATAGTTTTGTCCCACCTTGAACCCATCTTACCTCGTGTCTTTGTCCTATAAAACACCTCTGAGAGGGCTGGGAATTTAGCTCAGTGGCACCATGCCTGCCTTGCAAATGCAAGGTCCTGAGTTTGATCCCTAGTATGGGGTGCGTAGGGGAAATGAGGATGAAACACCTCTGAGAAGCAGGGTCAGTAGGCAACCCACTCTTCAGTCGTCCTTCTTAGACAGACACTACTGTTTTCTCACTAAATTCTTCCTACTCTTAACCTCTGTTGCTCCTAGAATTCATTCTTCAATTTTAGAGAACATGCACTGGAGCTCTGGATATCTAGCAGGGTGGGGAGTTACACATATTCTGCCGATATCACCCACCGAAGGTGACCAATGTCTGGTTAGAGTATCAGTCACCGCCATCCGTCCCCATGGGAAGTATGTGGGTGGAATAGTTTCTCCTTGTTTCAGTGCTGACCTTTAGTACGTGGGCCTCAACTGTCTTCTGTAACGACTCCCTCCAGGCCTGACGAACTGCCTGTAATATATCTAGTTAACTTAGCTGCCTACAATGTTCCACCTTCTGAAGCAGTATTCCTAACTGGGACTGGGAGGAGCAGGTGTAGTTTCTCTCTAACTGCTTTGAGCCGAGAAGGGTCAGTGTGGGTGAGACTGCAGCCAGGGCCCCTCTCCAGAGAATTATCTAAGGGGCCTCTGATAGAAGTCCGGTTGTCATTTAGCAGTTCGGCACTCCCTTTACAAGTTCCAGCTAACGGATTCTAATGAAAGGAGTCTAGCATATTCGTCACTAGTTCCATCTACATGATCACTGGAGTCTGGCAGCCTAAATAATAAAAAATCACAAACAAATTCCAATCAGTCACCCTAAGTAATGACTGTCTACTCACTTCCCTCATCGCTGGACCAAAACAGCTGACGCCTGCAACTGAGAGGAGAAAACTATTTTGGTTTACATTTTAGGGATTTGAGTCCTCCATGGCTGGGCAGCACGGTGGAGAGGCCTGGGGCGCGGGAAGTCGCTTACCTCACAGCGGATAGGAAGGAGAGGGACAGAGTGCAGGGAGCCGTTTTAGCTCGTAGTGCACAGAGGACTGAATATACTGCTCCAAGGAGGGCAGCACGGCAAGGGGGCACGACAGAGAACGAACGGTTCACGGCACGGCAGAAAGAAGGGGCCCTCCTTCATCTTTGTCTTTTTATTCAATCTCCCACCTGCACACAGGATGGGCCTTTCCCCTTCATTAAATCCATCACCCACACCGAGAACTACACTGAAACAATCACTGGACGACGAATCCAATACCGCAACCCACGATCCAGCACCACACACCCCTGATTCAGTCACCCCCAAAAGCCCCACCTATGAGCACATGAGGCTTTTGGTGGGGGGCGGGGCACCTAGATCTAAACCACAGCACAGTCCTTGGTCAGCTGGCTCCAGGACAGAGATGGCATGTTGGAGGGTTTGGGGAGGAAGCTGCCCCCGTTACAGCAGCCAGCAAGTGCCAAGTAAGGCAGGGACGGGGCGGGAGAGACGCCCTGAAAGTCACTTCTGCAGTGAAGCCCCTTCAGACCGGGCTCCACTTCTTACCACACATTCACCTCTGAACTCAGCAGTGGACGCGTCCAGTGATGAGCACGCATCCCACGATCCAGTCACTTCCTAAAAGTCCCACCTCTGAATACAACGCTTCTGGGGAACATTTTGTATCCAAACCCTAACACTCTGAACAACCCCTCACAGAGTCAAAATATCCAAATCCAGAGACTCCTCCTCACCCAGGAGTGCACCCTCACCCCCTCTCCCACTGCAGGCCCCTGGAATCTTACCCTTTAAGATATGTGAGATGAGTCAGAGCTGCAGCTACTGTCACTGTCTGTAACAGAACAAACACAGGACCCGGTCAAAGCTCACAGGAGACACGGCTGGAGGAGGCATTACGAGGCAGGTGAGCTCCTCTGTGGGCTCTTGTCAGCTATATCAAAGGGTTTCAGCGGTCAAACTTCTTCATACTTACAGATAGCCTGAGTGTAGCTCCCTTTCTTTATACCTGTGAGAAGAAAACATGCTGAGAAAGGCCAGGGAGAAGGAATAACTATTCCTGAGAGCCTAGAGGGTTTCTTTAGTCCTGGACCAGGGGAAGTTTCCAGCAGGGGGGCCGCAGACCCGGGGAAGGACAGGAGGCCCGAGGAAGGACATGTTCCCCCGACCGCCCTCCTGGAGCTCTGTCCTCAGCAGGGACCTTCCCCTCTGACCCCTGACTGCTGGACTCGGGGCCCCATCACCACGCCCATCCGGTGACAAATCCGTCCTTCCTGTTCCCTGTGCTTTAGAACAGAGCAAGGGTCCTGGCCCGGCCCGGTCAGCACCTGTGAGTGGGTGCTGTTCACCACCCCGAGGTGGGCCCACTTCCCCCGGGTCTGAACAGAGCACGCAGACCCCACCCTCCTTACCGGCCCTCTTTCTCCTCCACATCACAACAGCCACCGCAGCTACAATGACCAGGACGCCGAGGAGGGCGGCAATGACCACGACGACTTCAACTCCTCTGGAGATGGTGGGAGGAAGAGGCCGCTCTGGAAGGGACGGGAGAGGAATGGGCTCCATGGCCGGGTCTCAGCCCTGAGCCCCCGGGACCCACAGGAAGTCTCCAGCTTTCCCTGACAGCAGGCCCTGTGCTCCCGTCCCCCTTACCCCACATCAGGGTGCGGGGCTCGGGCAGCCCCTCATGCTGCACACGGCACATGTAATGCTGCTCCTCTCCCGAAGGCACCGCCACAGCCGCCCACTTCTGGAAGGTTCCATCCCCTGCAGGCCTGGTCTCCACCAGCTCTGTGTCCTGGGTCAGGTCCTGCCCACCCCGCTGCCAGGTCAGGGAGATCTCGGCCGGGTAGAAGCCCAGGGCCCAGCACCTCAGGGTGACCTCTTCCTTGGAGACGGGGTGGCGGGTCACGTGAGTCTCTGGGGGCTCTGAGGGGAAGACAGGGAACATTCACAACCTCCCCTTACTTCCCTCGGGCCACAAAAACAGTGCTTCATGGTCATCCTGAGAATGGACAGGACAGCTGAGGTGGGGAACAGTGCACAAAACCCAGACACCAGCCTGCACTCGGACATCGGGAGTATCAGTTCCTGGGAAGTCCAGGATCAGTGAGACGGCCCAGGTCAGAGGCTCCAGGTCTCTGAGGGTGGGGAGTGGGGCGCCTGGGATTCAGGTGTTGATCTGGGTGCTGAGTGAATGAGGAATGTTGGAGGCAGGCCTCCAAGGACAGTGAGTTTAGAGCAGAGAACAAGTTACTGAGAGTGAAATTCTTTCTCTGTGCTTTGCAAAGCCTGTGTCAGTGTCAGAGAATAACGGTTTCTCTCTCATCCTGGAGATCCTTAAAACAGGCAGCCCTTTGAGTCCACTCCTCCGCAAAAGATCTGGAAACCCAAGGACTCCTGCCTCTTGCTCCCTGGGCTATAAGTTCTGATCCCCATCCTGTTTTCTGCCGTTGTTTTGTTTTTGGGTAGTGACAGGGATGGAACCCATGGCCTTGTGCACATGCTGCCGAATGCTCTACCACTAAGCCACACAGCCAGTCCTTCCTGCTCTTGCAGGGCCTCCAAAACTGGCCATGGGCCGGGAATGGCCAGGGTCTCTCAGGAACCAGGCCAACAGCAGGACGGAAGATTCATCTGCAGCCACAGCCGCTTCCCCGGCACTGGGCTGCGCTCCGCCTGCTGTCACAGAGCAGCAGTCTCAGATTCAGGACCCTTTCCAGACCCACGCCTGAGACCGGCCCAGGCTGCGCTCCTTAGGGGAATCTGATCCTGGGACCAAACCCTCTGAGCTCCAGCCAAGGAAAAACTGTCTTCCGCGAAACCGGTCTCGAGTGCTAAAAAGGTCAGTACTGCTACTCTGCTTCTTCAGTAGATGAGGTACCCCAGCCCAGGGCTGGCGGAACTGCTCTGTGGCCTGGGTACCTGAGCGCTGCAGCGTCTCCTTCCCCGCCTCCAGGTATCTGCCGAGCCACTCCATGCACTCCCCCTCCACGTAGGCCCTCTGCTCCTCCGTCTCTCCTGCTGCCTCGGATTTGGTCCTGGAGATCTGAGCAGCCGTGTCCATTGCGGTCCAGGAGTTCAGGTCCTCGTTCAGGTACAAGTAATCCTCACCGTCGTAGGCGAACTGAGCATACCCGCGGAGGAGGTGGCCGTTCGACCCCATTTCGCAGCCGGAAGTCCATTGGAGCGTGTGAGAGCCTGGCCACACCCCCGCAGTCAGCCCCGCCCACCAAGTCCCAACTCGGGGGTCAACTATCACCGCCCAGAGCCGCCGTTGGCCACGCCC